CCCCCCAATCAGTTTGACCTGGCCACTACAGCTGCAGGCTAATGTATAGTGCCTCCATACAGGTATACAGATACAGGGTTAGAGAATCGGACTATATACCCAAGGAGGTTCAGACTCCCCGTCCCCACAAGGTAGGCTCATAAGGCCTACTAATAGTGCTGTTCAAATTAATCAATTTAATAGCTGATCATTCATGTTACCTCCAACTATGACTTATCAATAGTGATTTTCTACGATTGAGTATGGTTTGGCTGATTTATATTATATCATGAAAACTTAGATCAGGGGAAGTAACTGACTGACTAAACAAGTTTCAATGTGAATTGTATTCAAACAGCATTTTTGCCTATATCTAAAGCTTTTATCATTTTTTTCCATTTAAGTGAGTATATCAATGATCCATGATCAATAATTGAGATTTCAAAATAAAATTCACGATTTTTACCAACTTTTCTAAAAAAACTTTCTTTCTTTATAATGCCAAACATAGTTTTAAATACAACCGGTTAACGAGATTAGTTGAAATCTCAAAATTACAACTAATTATGTGAAAGGTTTGTCACCCAAGGGCGTCCAAAAAAGGTTATACGCCTAAAGGACTAATCAGCATGTACGTATACACGATAATTGGTCACACAAACAAGTGATAATTCGCCAAACGATGCATAAAAAGGATACCCATATCAAAATAATTGAATAAACTTATAGGTCAGTAGCAATTTGACAACGTCAACGAAAATATATTGGACACTTACCCAAATGTCAGTCCATGAGAGTTAACAGCGCGGGAAGTAGTGACGCGACTTCCGAGCTCGGTCTATGTGCATGTGACCAAGTGCATTTTCATTGGTCGAGAGGTTAGCACGAACTCAGATTTCACATTAAATTCAATGACACCAGGAGCGGTAAAACCTATCAATCAATCGAACGCGGGGTCATTGAGGGCTGCAGTTATGAACAGATACCCCTACTGAAGGAAATTTTATGAAATATTACTTAATGAAGAAACACCTAAATCAGTGTCTTTTATACAAGAATTATCAACCGTTTTAGTGTCTTTTTTTTGTCTCCTATCATGCAACTTTATCGACGGTTTGTCCCTATGCGAACCCCAGCAAAGGTTTGATAGTAAACATTTTGTGTCACTCATCACCAAGCCAATATTTCCTCATTTTTACACAGAGACGTACATACTATATATATTGCTTTACATGTCTCTGTTTTAGAAAACCCCGAAACCCAATAGTATTTTTTTTTAACTTCATATATTTTATCACGAAATTAGATTATCGTACTTTTTTTATTCTGAAACAAACAAAAAACTGCCAACTAATGTCATGGTTTTTTTTTTACTAGAGATTGGGGAACAAAAGATGCCCGGAAGATGGGTGCGACACAATTTCGGCCGGCAAGGCCAATTTTTGTCATGGCTGCGGTACAAAAGTAGCATATACAATATTATGTGTGATGTGGAAATGAATTAATGGCCAAATCGAAATACTGTCCATCTTGTTGCCGTCCTAGGCCTGTCGTGATTAGGCCTGAGCGAGATACCTCAGCTCGGGTGGGTTGGAAACTACGTTAGACATTGAAAAACATTATTAAATGTATAAGTTTCTAGGCCGATCACAAGGACCTGGTAATTTGTCAATCTATATCTGAACCTAATATATGATCGTTGGAGTGACATTTTTACCGAAAGTCGGAAAGTCGATCAAACCCATAAAACATGTAAAATGACTCTGAACATAACAAAGGAACTCTTCATGTACAATGTATTTATTTCAGTTTCAAGAGATGCAACATCACCTTTTTACATAAAACAAAAAATTACACCCGTGCTAAAAAAAATAAAAATAAAGGTCTGAATTGGAGTTTTTATGTTTGCCATGTCAAAGTTGACAATGTATTTCAACATCTTTGAGGCAGATTCAATGTGAAATAATACTGATCTTGATATTAAAAATCAATAATTTCATCAATTAATCCATTGAGACAACAATAAGGTTTACACAATTTCCAAACATTAACATAAATATATAGTAACATTTACAATTCTAACTGGTTTTCAATGTAATTTAACCAACAAAATTCACTAAATAAAACATTTGGAAACCTTTGATTAAATAATGTGACAGGTAAATATTCCGTATCAAGCTCTGTGTACATCCTTATTTTGTGTAAGAGTTATTTCCCCTTTCCCATCGTAGCTGGCCAACAGTTTTCTTCTACGGGATACCACGTTCGCAGGAACACAATATCTGTGCGGAGCAGAAGGTAAACTATCTCAAGATGTACACCTATCTCAAGAGCTCAAGTATTATGACAAACATTAGCAAGTAAGTTGAGGAGTATCATCAACAAGGATTTCATCATCAATGCAAACTGTTATTTTTGTACGTGTTTCGGATGGCCAGGCAAACCATTACCAGAAAGGTTTTTACAATTTCATTTTAACAGCTAAGGTGCATATTGGGAAACTCGGCCAAGGACGGGGACTGGCATTACAGAAGCCTGGCCACGGTCGCTCACCTGTCGAGGAACAATCAGATAGCACTGTAACCCACTCAGGTGGGGTACTCACCGACACAGCTAGGCAGACTAGAGCACCCCAAAAGTTGACTAGGCTGGTGTGGAGGTGACGGCAATATTTTCATAGTAGAAAAATACACGGCACTGCTGTGTTCCTAGGTTTAGTAACAATATAAGAGCAAGGACAGTAAAAATCCCTCTGTAATTTTGTGACTCAGGTAAATGGGATCACATATTGTACAGTTTGGAGACAGCTTTTAATTAGAAGCTCTATTTAAGTCTGCTAACAAAACGGAGGTTCAGAAAGAGACGGTTCTCTGCCTATCAGGCAGCCTCCGGTCCTTTAGAAACAGAGTGGTTTTCTGCTCAACCGCCTCTGGAAGCTGTGAGGGATCGGCCCCTTGAGCAGTTATCCGCTCAGGGTGGGATTGTGTTTTCTCCCACCCTTCATGGAAGTGTTTCCCGTTTTAGCCGGGAAAGATCAGCTTTTCTCTTACCCTGGACAGGTGTATCCGCATTTTTACCAGTGTGAGATTTCCTTTTCTCCCACACCTGACAGATTTATCTCCCGTTTTGCCGGTGCTAGATTTATCTGTCTCCGCCCTAGGGTTGAGACGGGGGAATTCCCCTATTTATAAAAATGGTATGACGTCACTGCAACAATACAATGACGTCACGTCGACAATCCATCAACGTCACATCAACCCTGAATTTAGCATGTAACGTTATCATTACATTGTGTATATGATACACAATGGGAGAACAGGGTAAGAGAAAAAGAATCATTCAACCCCTTGTGGGTAAGATAGGGGATTCTCCCACACCTGACAGATTTATCTCCCGTTTTGCCGGTGCTAGATTTATCTGTCTCCGCCCTAGGGTTGAGACGGGGGGATTCCCCTATTCATAACAATGGCATGACGTCACTTCAACAATACAATGACGTCACGTCAACAATCCATCAACAAATTGCCTGTATGTGTTTTGGGTCCATGTTTACCTTAATTTCACCATTAAAATACTGTTGGATATGGGAGAAAAATAATCAATCGCTACTGGTTGTGTAAGATAGAGAAATCTCAACCCT